ATGAAGACAAAGATAAGTGAGGATTAGAGAGGTTTTGTGTGCGTTTTGGATTGTGAGGGCGATTGTTACTTCCCGGCTGCCCACACCGTGGAAGTTGGTTGCGTGACCGCAGAGCCCAGGGGACAACTGCTTGTGGCCGGTCACACGCGGCCTGTTTTTGTTCGTTCTTCGTTGTTTTGTGTGCCTCAGTAGCATACTTATCACTCCCGCCCTGTGACACGGCAGCAGGAAGCGCGGTCGTTGTTAATCCGGGCCACGGCCGATCCGGCATGAAATTTTGTGAATTTGTTTGGATCATGGTATTGGATGAGGTAGCTGCTTTTTGTTTAACCGCTATCCAAACAACCTGCCTGGCATGGTAGAACCTCAAGAGACATAAGTCTCAGCCAGTATAGCTTGATTAGGTCATTGCGGTGTTCAAGCCCGACCACCACGTCAAGGTAGCAGCTTTCGGTCGGTCATTATGAATGAATATTAGTACTCATTTTTTTTCAAAACTTGAGTATTTCTGTTCATTTGTGTTAATATTATTCCTGTACCACATACATATCAAACAAAGATTTCCTAAGGATCAAAAGCTTTTGGACAACCACTTTGTGTTTAGTTGTTCAGATAGATAAATGCTAGTAACCAGATGGTTAGAAAAGATAAGCGATGAGGAACTCCGGCATCGAAAAAACCAAAAACCTATCACCCAACGAATATGCAGAAGAAAATACAGATCGGTTACAGGATTTCATCGTGAGCTGACATTGGTTAAAGAATAATTGGTAAACCTGGGAATACTGGACAGCGGTTTCGTCCCAGTTTGGGACTCTTCAGCCATACTGTAACCAATCAATCAAATCCCTACAAACCAATACTTGCAAATACAGATCGATTGAACATATGCCGAGGAGACTGTTGAATGGCATTACCCGCCAGGCCATCGAGTACAAAGCGAATGAGAAACGACGAGTTGGAGCACGTGGATCATACGGTGACATGGAGGAGATCATGTGAAGACGAAATGACGCCTTATAGGCAATTGTGGAGCTAAACTAAATAAAGGTCGCAGAGAATAGGGTGAAATGTAGATGTGCAGCTGAAGCTCTATGTTTCACTTTGAGAACTGTATTATTATTTCTTCGGTCTCAAAGAATGTGCTATTCTGTTGCAAACCTTTTCTGTAGGCTTCACTAGTAGAGACATCTATCCTTCGTGGAGTTCGAAAAGCACCGGTTGACTACTTTACTTATTTAGCTAACAGCAGATTTGCTATCAGTTTGAGGCTTATTTCACCTCACAAATTTTCAATGAAGAGCGATATAGATAGGCAAAGAGCAAATAAATAACATGGGTATATGATTTAACATTACTTAGTGGTTATGTAAGCTGCCGCATGTTATACATGGATATCAAGTAGAAGTTAGTAAAATGGTAGACAAAGAAATAGAAATAACACAATCGGCAATTGAAGAGTGCTGTGTGATAGAAAGAGATCAATAAGTAAATATGAGTATAAGATGATATGAACAACAAGAAGACAGACAGAGTGTGAATTGATCTTCATTACTGCTGTGCGTTCTGAATGATAGCATCTACAGTCTTTAACGATGAATCCCGGTGACCACTGTCTGTCTGGATTCAACATAGAACTTGGCACCGAAGTGCAGCAGTTCGAGTTGCCACGTTCCAAATAGCACACAGAGGTAGACAAGAAGATGAGTGAAGAGAATCAATAGAGTTTGACAAGTATAAGAGTGAAACAGAATGGGTAATGGTAGAGAGGAATATGAAAGATTACAGAGATTGAATACATCTGCGCCATTGACAACGATTTTGAGCCATGTCACCTATAGTCTCCAGCCATTGATTCCTAGAGTCCCGAGGGCCCCAACCCGGGAGTCTGCATCTCCCTACCTGACTCAGTTTAACTGTCAAGGATTTCATGGATTGATGCCACGTTTTTGTTTGGCCACCACTGGCTCTTTTCCAACCTGAACCTATATCAGCTAACAATGCCCGTTGGGGGAGGCGGTGGTTAGGCATGCGCAGCACGTGACCTAGCCATCTTAGTCTATGTAACTTTATAACCTCGTCGATTGATTTTCCCTCTTTGCCCAACACTCTACGCCTAACGTCAACATTACTTATCTTGTGAAACCACCTAACGTGAGACAGAGATCGCAGACATCTATGATCGAAAGCAGTCAATCTTTTCATGTGACCACTGGGCTCTAATCAGACAATGTAGACTTTCCTGCTCAGCTTAGACCAGCAGCAAACATGTCCATAGATTAACTGCATGTCTCTGTTGGTCTTTGTTTGTTTGTTTGACTCCCACTATGATGTGACGTCAAAAGAGGCTTATCTAAATTAGGATTGCACATCTAACTCACAGATTATTTAATTGATGGTTTTATCAATTGCCACTGATAGCTAAGAAGGAAATGACAAATATACACATGATTTCTCATTGGGTCCTTCATCTGCAGTAGCCATAGAGTATGAAAATGCTTAACAGTTAGGCACTTTACTGTTTTCGTAGCATAGAAATGGATATTCAAGTTCTCTTATGAATGGCTGCCACATTTTGCTGAAGTCAGACAAGTCTCTTGTATCCAGTTCACTAGGTTTTAACATCAGATGTCTGAAATAAAGTTAGATACACTAAACCACTACACAAACACACATACCCCCCCCCCCCGCCATTGCATAGTCAGATAGACTATCGATGCATACATCAGGCAATACAATAGAGTAAAAGCGTCATCAATTCACATTTAATTAGTTTGTAACATTGTATCGAAACTTAAGCACGGATATATAAACTTGAGTAGTAGCATTATTCTATTCTGTTTTAATAGTAAAAGCATAATCCATCTTAGATTAATTTCATTATCTTACCTTCAAGAGATTTACTGAAGCGCAAATATTATTCTAATTGAATTGTTAAGAAATACACTTACTACAGTCTTGAATTTCTATGTTCTATTCTTTTGTTTGTTTGTGTATTTCCTCTATTACAAACACTACTACTATTGCTACTCAATTAGTTTATCAATATTTCTGCTTAAATTATATTTATAAATCCATCTGAAAGATATCTAGTTTCTTTTAATGCATTTCCTTACAGAAATATAATCTTTGATGAATTGATTTTCGCGGCTTAATGCTTGCTAGTGAGAACTAATAATAGTTATAGTAATAATAATGATAATAACAATGAAGTATTAGTAGTAACGGAAGTTGTGAAAATTTACTTATGACGCAGAAGAAAAGAAAGAAACTCATAATAAAAGTAATTCACATAGTAAGATAAGATTTTCTGTAATTAACTATATATTTCTTTCACAAAACTTTAACGGAATGTATAATTCTCTAGATAATACTCTGTGTACCTACTCACATCATATCATTCTATCCTATTTATTGCATCCAACGTAATTGTATATATTGGATGTCATTTAAAAGGGATTATTCATTTCTTATGTGTTGAATTCTTAAAGTAAGGATTTATATTATAATTACCGTTATTATTATCAGTCTTATTATACTTTATATCACATTTTCCTGATGGTGATGTTATTTATTTAGAAAAACCGGTTACCGAGAACAGATTTTTCATGAACATAGTAGGGATGAGTTTCGTATACTATCCAACGGATGTTGACATTACCCAGTTGGTCATGCTGACTGACTGAACATCAGCATAGAACTTTGTACAGAAGTCCACGGCAGCTCAAGTCGCCACAGACCATGAAGTATACAAAGGCAGAAGAAAAAACTTTAAAAAAAATTATAATAATAATAAAGAAGAAATACTAGTAACATGGAAAAGATGTGGATATAAGAGGTCACAAAGAGTTAATGCATCCATGCCATTGAGAACGATATTGAGTCTAACATTGTCCGTCGAGGAAGGGGTTGGTCTTGGTATGCCGGATATGTAACTTAGACATCTCAATCGATTTAGCTTCCCGATTTCTACGCCTAAACTCAGTATTGCATACCATATTACACTAATTAACACAGGAGAAAAAGAGAGAATGCAAACATCTAAGGTAAAAACAACGGGTAACTTTTTCCAGGCTAAAGTAGGTGAAATGGGACTCGAACCCGAAGGCTGCAAGTCACGCGGTTAAGCTGATGAGCTACAGCTCCACTCATCACAGATGCTAAACACCTAAAATATTATCTCGTTTGGAATTTTCGTATTTTTTAAAAGTATAAACTTAACACAGTTAATCGTTTTAGTTGATTTTAAAGAATTTCTATAAAGTCTATTTTTATTTTGATAAATTTACATTACGTCTAACTAACCATATTTTACATTTACTACTTGATTATTTTTTTTCATAAAAAAGGACAACAAAATTGCCTAGAGTATAAAGTTATTTTTTCCAGTCTATTGGCAATTTTCTACAGAGAATGAATAATCATTAAAGAAATCTTACCATCATTAAGTACTTACCAGATAAGTTGATGATAATAAGAATTATGTAGAAAATTCAGAAAAAAAATAATAAAAAACAAAACCTAGAAAGGAAATTCAACTGCTTATTTGCTCAATCAATAAAAATGACTTAAATATTGATTTCCTTCAGAACTAAAATTACTTAAGGGAAACTAATTAAGTATTTCGTCGTACTTTGGGACTTGGGAGACGTGGGCAATCACTATCCAACAAGGACAAGAACTATCATATCAGGTGTGAAGTGGGTGCTCAACCATTGTAGCGGCTGGCAGTGGCGATGTATGAGGAATTGGCAGAAGTTAGAATTCTCAGATCAATGGATTCCAACATGGTGGTTGAGTGATATACATATTGAGTTAGTGCACTCTAAAGGTCCTGCTTTTGATCCCTGATAGGAGTATGGATATACGCTGCTGGATAGTCGCGGCCTATGATGGAACAGCTGTCCATAACTCTTCGGTTTTTACTGATTTTCTAGCTGGTGTCAATTTATAACGAAATTAAAATCGTAATTAGTCATATTAATGTTGTTAATACTTACTCATTAGATACACCAGGCTGTGATGAACTCCATCCTGTCCCATTTTTACGAATGTGTTCAGCATGCAGAAAAGAATCACGAATTGGTCGGCTTATATCTTCGTCTAAAATAATATCGGGAAGAAAGAGACTAAATAAAAAACGAACGATCTATAAGAAAAACAGTTAAACATTTCTACAGGAGTATTTTGTTATAAACATAGCTAAATACGTGGATAAGCAAAACAAAATCAAAGAACTACCACTTGGAACATATTATCACATATACTCTAAAGGAATACACGTATTCAGGTTTTAAGCTCACATAAATAAGAACACTCAGTTATACACATAATAAAACGAAAATGTATTCCTTGCGTTCTAAGTGAAACACAGAGCTCAAGCAGCACATTTCCACTGCAATCATTTTCAACTAGTTCCACTACTGCCCACAAGCTTTCAGTGCCTCCTGAAATGATCTGCTCCATGTTCTCCTTAAACACACAATCGATCTCTTCCCATTCCATATCCCACTCGAAAGTTTGTCACTTGAAGATCTGAATGCATTCCAGTCTATTTTCATACATGGTAAGCAACAGGTTCTTGACTGGTTCGGTGTCAAAGTTGTTTGCTGTTTATCCTTTCTAGCCATCTGAACTGAGGAATCTAGAGAAGGCAATTAATGATGAAACTGGCCTATTGTGCAAAGATCAGAAAAGAAAGACGTTTGGATGTAAGGGTAGTGATCCAACCCTGTGAAAAATAACCCCGTCACTACTGAAACTTCATAGTAAAGGAAAAACAAACTTATTCGTCTTTGGGATAAAGAAGATTCCACAATTCGAGAATAAGTGATGCCAAAAAGTGAAAGCTTTTGCAACAAACCAGTTAGTTGAGGTGTCTTCTTTTGATGAAATCAAAAGTAAGCATAGGGACATGGAGTGTATGCACCATGTTTGACACTATCAAGGCTGTTCAGACTGTGGAAGAATGTCGGCTTAATAAGATTTAAAGATTGAACTAGTCTAATTGGTAAGAGTTACTGAATATGCTTAGTCTTCACTACATTTCAATAGCTGGAAATAAATTCTAATTATGAAGATGGAGTATCACTTTTAAGAACAGATAGCTTCAATCACTCTAATTGTATAGAAGAATTTACGCAACAACAAAAAAAGATAACTACGCAGATGAATCAAAAGTCAAGCATAGATGTTGAGTGAAGCATCAATGTATTTCCTTAGAGAGATAAAACAGACTGAACTGAACCGGAATGAATTTAAGATGTAGAACTTTGCACAAAAGTGCAGCAGTCTCAGTGTAATCACACTTCATAAAAATACAAAGGTAGAGAAAGGAAATGCAATGACATTACAATAAACAGAAATGTATAAGGAAAAAAAACAATTACATGAAGAATAACGAAGATTTTTAGAATCTACAAGAGATCATAAGTAGTGAATGCATCTATGCCACTGAGAATGCTTTTAAGCTGTATCACCAGTCTCTAGTTAACGATTTTTAACGTATTGAGAACCCCAAATGGATAGTCTACACCTCATTATTTGACTGAAATCAACTTTCGACAAATTCACGGATTGGTGGTATGTGTTTGGTCCAAACACCCGTAATTATTTTTCAAATTATTCTTATGACATTTAACACAACTTATAAAAACAAAACTAACCCTTGAAAACCAACTATAGAGATTTAATCTGATGCTCGCTAGTGACTTGCTACAGGTTGGAGTTTCCTGGAGTTCTAGTGAGAAGTCGTGACCAGTGAGGTCCAATTAGATGTCACGTGTGAGGATAGATGTCCTACCAACGACATTGGTTGAGGTCGCGCTAAATCACGAATTTGTAGAAGTTAGAATTCATGCACTGGCCATTGAATCGGATCCCAGTGGCTGAATGGTATATGGGCTTTCCTTGCAACCGGAAGGTCCTGGGTTCAAACCCCAGTGGGTGCGTACTTCCGATGATTCTCAAACTAGGATGAAACAGCAGCCGTCCAGTGCTCCCTGGTTTTCGATGGTTCTCTAACTGATATCAATCTGTGACCAACTCCTAAAGACAAAACTAACCCTTACAAATCAACTAAAGGAACTCTACATTTAACCATATTATTAGTGAACACTTCTGATGACAATGAGAATGTCTAGTTTATCTTAAAAAAAGAGTGCTCAGGCTTGTACTTGACAGCATATTTAGATGCTGTTTACCTTACAAATATGAAAACTTTCTTTTTTTTCCAATATTAATTAGCACCAAATACTTTTTTGAAGCATAATGCTTACGGATTCGTGCTAAGAAGTAACTATATTATGAGATCACATCAAACACCAATCAAAGAAATAAAGTTTAAAAGTATAAAAGTGCCTAAATTCATGTATTCATACACTGAAGTTGGGTTAGTAAAAATTGTCAAAAATTTTTGGAGTGGAAATATGTTGTATCCCAATGATTACTAACCGATTCATTTAGAAAATAACTGATACAGGTCATCTGTATATAACCAAGTCAAAATATCCTATCTAATTCATCAATTTCAATGTACATATGGTCACATAAAAACAGTAAGGACCCATGGGTCATTGCAAATGAAGGATACAAAGCATATACCTAAGTGGCTGGCTTCAAGGGAAGACCGAGTTCGCAGAACTTATTCATAGTGAAAAAAACATACGTCCAAGCTCCGAAATAGTGAAACACATTACTGAAACAGGGCAAATAATAGATGTCAATATGTTTTTGAAATCTGCCTACCTATAAGTCCTGCTGTTAGGTTCTATCTATCTCCTTAACTATATGTAAACCTTAGATATTCGGAAGTTTAAACCACCTTGATTTGATTAGAAACAACCAGTTGTGACGTCAAAATCTTTGTTGGCAAATTAGGTTTTGTATAATTACCTCTCCCCTGGCCTATAATCACTTTATCGACATTCATTGCTGTTTTGGGCTTCAAAAAAACCTTTTAATTTAACTTGTTCCCACTTTCTCATCCCTTAAGGCTTTATTATTTTTTATGTGTAAATTTCTGTAACAAGCACGTGTGTGTGTGTGTGTGTGTGTGACTAAATTGTTCGGAATGTGTTGCGCAAATACAGTAAGAGGTGAAGAAATATTTGGCAAGAAGATAAGTACGACATACACATAGAGTAACGAAATTCATTCAATCCATTACAGTAATATACTAATACAACTTAATATTACCTGTGCAGATTTGTATACAGTAAACAAATAACTTACTGGTTAAAGTGTCATTATTACCACGTTGTACAATACCCCTTGGAAATAAGCCAATTTCACCAGTTCGTATATTTTGACCAGACCACCAAAATTTATGAGATTTTCCATCAATAACAATCACTGTATCACCAGCTTCTAAGCCTAAACGATCCGCTTCATCAAGATTTTGAGTTGCTACAACAGTAATTGGACGTATCTATTGACGACAAAAAAAAGATAAGAAAACAAATTCAGTGATATATGAAACTTATAGCATGTGACGTAGAAAAAAAATTAAGATAATGTTTATTATCCATACTCTCGAATATATTTTATAACAGAGACACCAAGATTAGTAGCACTAACTGAATTGAACACTGTCTACAAATCAAGTGGTCAGTTCCAAATGATAAAAAGTAGGCTTAAACAATTACATATTGTTGAACAAATATAAGTAGTATGTGTGTGTGATGTCTTCTGCAAGAATATTGAATGGCCGATAGATGGATGGATTGAATAGAGAAGAAGAGAAAAGAAAAAGAGAAAATAGGAAAACAAAAGAAGCACAATACGCAGAACATGTGGAAATGGTGCTTTTAATAATGATGTATGCTGTATTTTGCGAATAAACAATTCCGCTTTCAAATTCTGTCGTGTTCTGCTATTACAATATGACTAAGCTTAACCAAAATGTGTATAACTATTAAATATTTTTACAAATTTTCTCATGAAGAAAATACATAATTTCCTAACTTCTAAACAAATCTACACGGAAAGACAAAGTATCAAAAAGTCAAAGCATATTAATTTTAAACCACCTATTTGAATTTCCTCTTTTGTTTATTGATGACTAATCAATGAAAGTGACATGAAATCTATCTGTGTATTTAGGTTCATCAGTTGAAGGTAATTCACTGTATCTATTATTCTCTGGTCTCATAACAATTATACTACGCTCGTATGTGTAAGAGGTAAGCTCTGCTGTCTGGGCGCTTCTATAGGCAACTATAAGTTTACTTGCTCTATTGGAGCAAGGTACATCGGGAATAGCCAGAGGAATGTGAGATCATATTCTAGCGCGGTATTACAAGGGAGAAATGAACGGTATGAAAAGTGCCATCCTAGAGTACTTGATCGGCAGCTGTCACTCAGCCAATCCTGACCATGAATTTAAGACTATCTACAGAATTCATATTAACTTGCCGCATTTCCTTTGTTCCAAACATCAGAAAACAGTAGACACCTTCGCTTTTCTTAGCTTCAGAAGATGTATGTACCGTCTCCAATCCTACCTAGGCCGTAAACTTAGCCTGTTTATGTTTTCATTGTTGTTGCCATTATCACTCTTAATTTGACTTTGGACAGTTTCCGATATTATTTCGCTTGTCCCATTTATTATTTGAATTCAACATATCTTTCTCATCAAAGTTCCTACGCCATGTTACGTAATTCTTTTATCTGCCTGGTAAGCCTATTAATTTCACACCCCTATCCGATATCTCTACATTGTATGGACTATTATCTTGTTTTATCGCTTGACAGTGAACTATGATGATAATCATAAATATTTAGACCTAATTTTTTTAAATTTCGTAACGCGATAATTTCTTGGAAAATCGTATACATATGTATGACTGTTCGTTTAAAGAATCTCTTCACTGGATATTGCATCCCTTATCATACTAGGCACTTCAGAAGTTAATAACTTCATATACATACAATTCAATATTCCGTTTCGCTTTAGTATTATTATTATCATTGCTATTACTATTGTTTGCATTCATGTATGGTGCTTATAAATGACGCCATGTAATCTTAAGTATTTTTATTGATTATATATATTCAAAAATAAAACAACACATTAACCAATCATTTTGTATCACATTCCTATTGACTGTAAGTAACAGTTTACATGAATTTTTCTTCAAATTCCCCAATGAAATTAAATGCTACCTGTCCCATCCTTTAATTGAATCTCATTTGATTTCTTCGGCGATAATAATGATAATGATAATAATAATAATGCAAGCGCTGGATATAATATTTGAAAAAAAAACAATTTACTTATGCGCTTTATTGGCTACTTTATATATATATATATATGGTAATGTTTATGCTTTCACAACTTGTAGAGGCAAGGGAAGAAATTATTGCAAAACAGTTATTGGAAACTTGTGAAAATATTATGCACGCTACACTTTGTATTTTGGAAAATTATATCATGATAAAAAGGTTTAAGATATTGGTATTTTTATCCAGTATTCATTTTCAAAATACTTTTTTGGATTGACATTCACTTTACTTATTTCACAGATTTTGCTTGGTCAACATTTTTACAAACTCTGGCAACGTGTTTATTAGTGTCCAGTAATTTTAAAACAGTTACGTGACTATCGTATTTGATTTTATTAAATCACAAATTTGGTACATTATGGGCTCCAAGCGATCCAAAACACAAGATCTCATAGTTTGTGCGAGGGCTGGGATACTGCTAAGAGGCCGTCGGTGGCAAGGCGGTTAGGACACTCGCCGACCATGCACATGGTCTGGGGTTCGATCCCCGGCCACCAGCGCACTCCTTTACCTCGCTAAGCTAGAAATAATGCTGGTAAAGGGGAAAGGTTGGGCATGAGGCTAGCAACCCCATCCTGTAAAATAAACACTGCTACAGAAACTTCAAGCCACTAGCTTGAAGCCCTATGTTCCACTGGGAACGTGAATGAATAAAACAACAAAATAACACGCCCGAACCAAATCAGATGGTTGTCTTAAAGGATCACCTCCCTTAGAGCCTTTAATCTGAAGTTTGATTCATAAGGCAGGAGAGCAGCGTCAGCAGCTACGTCCCCATGGTTTCCGGGGACTAGGGCAAGTTCATACACCACTAGATCCATTCAGACTTTGAAGTTCGTACGTTTAGAATCAGGGTTTTCCAACTTCCCTAGATAGAACTCCGTGTTGGCCAGTTCGCTTGTGGGCACTCGTCCTTTCACCCTTGGTGAGGAACACTCTCCACCGCGTGACATTTTATTTGGCTTTTTTTTTAACAAATACGAAGAATAATTTTTCTTTAAAAAAATAATCCTGATTATAAGAACTTTTTATGCAAAACAAAGTGTCATTTAGTTTTTCCCCTTAAAGTGTAACACTCTAACAGTAGATACTTGCAATAAAATATCTAATTTAATTTTTATAATATGCCAATTTAATTGACCAACACAAACACACACGCACACACAGGGAAATAAACAATAGGTTCTTTTTTGTAGATTCATTCACCATACAATATAAAACTGGTTCATCAATCATCACCTAATGCAAGCATTAATACTGTGGGGTCAATGCATGCAACACAGTTAATTTCTCTGTTGGAAATGACAATTGAGCATATAAAAGCAGTAAACAAAATCTACAGGTTACTAAGACAACCTTCTAGTTTGGGATTTTTATCCAATCGTATATACACAATCAACACATGACAAAAAATATCTTAAACTAGCAAAAATCAATAAAAAATTGGTGATAAAAAAACAAATAATAATAACAAATACATATATGAAAAAAACCTCAATTTCTAATTTTTAAAAACTAGAGATTTAAAGTCTTACTTGATCTAATCTTTCAGAAAGATATGAAAATGTTGGCCGACGATATGGTTCAGCTCGCCAACAAGCCAACATTAATTGATATAAACGACGTGGACAAGTATATTTTGGCCAAACTAATCGACGCCCTGAATCTAATAGTTCTAACAACTGTCCAGCATTAACACCAGGCCAAGGATCTGCTCCACCCGTCCACATTTCCCAAAATGTAACACCTAAACTCCAAACATCACTGGCTTCAGAAAAGACACGTTTACGTAGAGATTCGGGAGCGGACCTGAGAAAAGAGATATTGTACAAAAGACAGGTAATAACTGAAAATTGTGTGCATACTCATATGTCAAAATGATTTATTGTCTGAGTCAACTGATGTCTGTTATTTCACTCCAACTCCTTCAATCTGACTGATTGGGGAATGTTGCAATCTCTGATACATTTACGAGTGATACACCTTGCAGTACATAATAAAACTATTGAGAGGTAATTAAGTGATTTAAGTCACACTATTACCATAAAGTCAAATACAAAAATTTCATTTTTCCTCATTCGAAGTGAGGACAGCAGTGAGGCAAGGCTGTCTACTATCACCAATGATCTTGCTGATTGCAGTAGACTGGATAATGCGACAGACAACGGGAAACGAGGAAACAGACATAAAATGGACTCACACAAAAAGAGACTTGGAGGATCTGGATTTCGCCGATGATATATGTCTGATTTCCCACAAACTGGAAGATATGCAAGTCAAAAGCAACAAGCTGGCAGAAGAAGCATTCAGAGAAGATAGGACTTCAAGTGAACATAGATGAAATAGAGGTGATGAAGATTCCTGGCCAACAGCAGCAACAACAACGGGCAACAATCAGCCAGAATAAATGGGAGGAACCTGAAAGAAACAACCTTCTTCACCTGTGAAGAATCGTTTCAACTACAGGCGGACGGAATTGACGAGGATATCAAAGTCAAAATCGGAAAAGCAAGACAGGCTCTCATTACCCTTAAGTCTGTGTGGAGGTCAACAGCACTCAGCATCAAAAATAAGATCCGGATTTTCAACTCCAGTGTGAAGTCAGTCAGTGCTACTATACGGATCAGAAACTTGCACTGCGCGTCATAAAGAACATCTCAAACAAACTTCAGACCTTCATTAACAGTTGTCTTCGCTCAATACTCAAGATCAGATAGCCGGCCAGAAAGGATCAGAAACAGGGAGGGATATCTGGGAGCGAACCAATCAGGAACCGATTGTGAAACAAATAGGCAGGAAGAAATGCAGATGGATTGGCTGGCCATACTTTGAGGAAACCATCAAGTGACATCACTAGACGAGTCCTCTATTGGAACCCAAGAGGGAAGCGGCGAGTCGGTCGTCAGTGCAAGGGTGACTTGGAGGAGGTCATGTGAGGAGGAGATGAAAGCATGTGGGCAGACTTGGAGCAGAGTGAAAAAGTTGGCAGAAAACAGAAGGCAATGGAGACGCGCAGCTGGAGCCCTATGTTCCTCTAGGAATTAAAGGATGTAATAATAATAATAATAATAATAATAATAGGTTTCACAATCATTGAAATAAATGTAATGGCTTTATCTAAATCATATGACAAGCCACATATGTATATTACCTTTTCTGTATTAACTAGAGTAGAAAACGATATACGAAAAAGTAATCATAGCTAGCCCACGCAATCTCCAAATGCTTATATTTGCCATATAAGAGAAATGACGACTGTTCGTCTAAGATCAATAAGCCATGAAAAACTTAATTATGACAAACGCTAACTAGGCGATATAACAGGTTATCATATATTATTGTTATTCCCTTGAATTCAGAGTGGAACATAGGGGTTCAGCAACACATCTCCACTCTGTTCAATTTTCTGCCGTCCTCTTTAGCTGGATCAAAGATTGACAAAACTCATCTCTTCTTTACACGACGACCCATTCGTCGCTTCCCATTGGGATTCTACTCGAGCGATAGCCTGGCGAGATGTCACTCGACGGTCTCCTCTATGTATGCGCAATCCATCCTCACTTTCTCCTACATATCTGTTGAGCAATTGGTTCTTGATTGGTTTGTTCCCACAATTTCTGGTTGCTGATTCTTTCTGGCCATTTCGGTGTGGGCAGCCGGGAAGTAACAAACGCCCTCACAATCCGAAATGTACAAAACCTCTGGCCATTTGATCTTGAGTATGGAGCCAGCGAAGGCATCTGTTGATAAAAAGTCGGCAACCTGTTGGAAATCCTTTACGTGACACGCCAAGTTCCTGACCCGTTTAGACGAACCGACTTCACATTGGTGTTGAAAATCCGAATCTTGTTCCTCAATATTAAATGCAGAAGATTTCTAAATTGGTTTCAGGTTGATAAAGACGTATCTTGCCTTTCCGATTCTGACTTTTACATCTTCACCCGTTCCATATGTAGTTGAAACGACGCCTCCCAGATAAGTGAAACGAGGAAGTAACCTTTCTTAAATCTATCCCATTACTATATTAATATTATTTTATCCGTTCCTTGCGTTCCAATGAGAATATAAGACTTCGACAACATGTTTTCGCTGCAATTAGTTATTCGAGGTCCTTAAAATGATAAAAGGAATAGTAGATATGCGGCGAAAATAATTAGTTCATTAAATGACCTGGAATATTACAATATATATATATATATATATATATATATATAACAAATTCTTTCGATTGTTCTAACTAAATATTATACCTTCATGCGTAAAATTAAAACAAAAATAGCTAGCTGGCAAGTTAGAACTGAGTTACGAATTTGCTTTAAGGCATTATCAGTACGCCTATGGTAGCTAACCATAAATAGGGTGATTCAAACTAGTGATTTGATCGTCTGAGCTTAACGAAAGAGGGGACATTCCTGATGAGCTTGGCATCAGCCATCCAGTGTTTAGATCACTTCGATCCGGTTGGCGAGCACTGCTAGTTGATGTGGGCGGTCGGCATACAACTACTTATTCCAACCAGTCAGTAGCATATAGCGTCAAGAGTTTATGCTTGCTTTCTTGATTGACAGTCATGGTATCAAGCATAAAAGTGTGGTGAAATTTCACCTCGAATTGTGTAAATTGCAAATCGCCAATTGAATTTTAGAGGTGCATAATAGAAATGTAGTAGGATTTATTATTATTTAAGAACTTACCATGCAAATGGAATTTTCTGTTCTAAATTACCCGTGTAAACTGGTTCATTGAATTCATTTTCTTTATTTAACTTTTTATCAGTTATATTACTAGTAGAATCAACAACTGATCGAACTAAACCGAAATCAGCAATTTTAATTTGAGGATATTCATTTTTTTGTATTGATGAAAGTAAAATATTTCTAGCCGCTAAATCACGATGAACCAAGCCTTGCGATGAAAGGTACGCCATACCACGAATAATTTGTATACCCATATCCCATAATGAATCAATTTGAAGAGCACGTGGTACACAGGGTAAATTGTTTGGTGGATTTGTTTGACAAGAATTATTACGTGCACACATTGATTGAGCTCTTAGGTGTAATAATAAACTACCTAAAGGTGCTAGTTCAGTAACCTACAGGGAGATAGTGGGAGGGAAGGAGAGAGAGAGAGAGAAAATGAAAACAAATATGAGGTCAAATAACACATGTAATTTGCTCAAGGCTACTCAGATGCCATTTCATCACCATGTATGAATAAACCTATTATGAAACTGAAATCAATTAAATCGTGATGCGTATCATTCCCAAGAGTATATAAAAGAAACACAACCTCATGTTTTATTCAATATCGTTTCATTTGATTTTCATACGTCAACCAAAATCTCAATCAGAGGTTGCATATCAATGTGGTATTTAAGTTATGAAAGGACAGCAGGGTGAGTGATGGGCAATTTTTCACCTATTGGTTGAAGCACTTTGCTTACTATTTCAGTGAGCTTCCTTATGAATAACCTAATGACCTATTCCTCTAACCCATATTCTTAATGAAACTTGGTTTTCTAAAGTCATTCTCTTTAACCAACCTGATTAGTTGTCTGGCATCATTTATCACCATTGTCTTCTCTATAGCATTTGGTTTGCGTTTGGTTTACTCAAGATCATTAGACAGACTCTTTATAAGTTTACATTTACGCAACTTCTGCATTTCACTATCATACGAGCTTGTGATTTTAGGAGGTTTTCGAGTATCTAATAGATCTAAAGAAGCTGCTGAGACGTAATGACCTTAGCCAGAAATATTCTGAAGGTCAAAAACATAGTTTAACACTATTTTTATAACATGCTGGAGATTATGCCAGACATTTTAGAGAACAGCAACACGTTTGTGTTGTGTATCAACAATTGCTTGACTGTGCATACCCCTTAAATTTTGTCTTAAAATTTTCATCACTGCACTCAGTTGAGAGGTCTTCCATATGTCCTCATGCATACACTGAGGAGTAAGAACATGCATGCAGTCACCAACAAAAGGCCATGATGATTCAAGAGTGTGCTTCAAAAGAAACGATATTATTCTCAGTGCCACTCAAACGGTAAATGATAGCCATAAATACTGTTTATTTAAATCCAAACTTTAGACAGTGTATGGAGATCACTAAAATTAGAAAATGCGTTTCCGTATGTCTGAAGTTAGTAGTGTTTAGAAGTAAAGGACTATCTGAACACAACTGTAACTAATAATAATCATTAACTTTGTACTGAGTCAAAACTCTGAATGTACCATGCAAATGCCTTTCCATCCGGTTTAGTCTTTTCATTTTATTTTAGATAGCTAGAAATCTCTAGTTCTATATGTACACTATTCAACAAGGAACTGTCTGTCTATCTGTGCGAGTAGTTCTCGTAGTATACACAACTTGGTACATGAAAATTTATCAAGTTTCTAGTTGTATTTACATCGGCAGAATTCTCTCACATAAACAGCATGATAAAAAATAACAAAAAAAACAACAAAGAATGATATCAATTAAATACATTTCTTTTAAACTATATGAATTAAGTTCTGAGCGGAAAAAACAAACCATGCCAACATTGTAAATATTATTATGAATTAATTTGATGAATATAATTCATCACTGGAAAAACACTGAGTTTATTACATTGCCACCATTAACTATTCAGCATGTGTTCTACTGTGTTGACAAAATGCCTGCACTAAATTTGTACAACTAAATATACCTCATCAGATGACACATGTAAATTATTCAATCAATTAAGACTATTATTACCCATAATATTTTTCGTATGATGAAGTTAAAACGTTTTCAGAATAAAATATGTAAGCAAAGTATAGAACAATCACTAGTTTAATCAGACCGTTGTCGGCCAGTTTATCTTGGGTTCGAGTCCTGCTTCACTTGGACTCTCGGCACATCCTCCGTGTTCTACTGACGAGAAGAGAGGATGGCTCCGTCAAGAGGACCATACTTAGAAAGCTAGATACCAAAGCTCAATATACACACTTCCTTAGCTTCGTACCTATGAAATAAAAACACGCGCTTAGCAATTAGAGAGAGATCCATTTGCTTCGAAGATTTTGTAGAGAAAGAACTCCAAGTCAACCGGGATATTCTAAGCAAAAATGGATATCCAGAAGTTTATCAAAGCCAACGTAGGTTAAAATAGTCGCAAACATGAACTGGCAACAGTGGAGATACTCCTGTCGAGATCATACCACGACGTTTAACCAGGGCGACAAAGAAAACTTTCTCCTCTGCACATGTGTTCCCATTCTTCAGTAGCCAACCAATGTTCAGCCAGAAGCTGAAAGATGTCTTACCTAACCTTAGCTCTTCTTCATGCATATACCATTTCAACTGTTCTTGCGTTTCAAGTTATATAGGGTCTACAAACTAGGCAGGTTCATCTACGGGTTTGAGAACATTTACCAACTTGGTTAGGTAATGGGGGAAATTAGAGACATAAAAGGCTCGATTCTGTCACACTTGGTCGATACTGGAAATCGCATCGACGCCCACACAGCCTTCACGGTTATATACCACATTCCGAATTCCTTATCACGTACAGTTTTCTCACGTCTCCTATATATAGCTGAAGCTATTGTAAGAAGATCGACCAACCGGAACTTAGTATGCAAAACGAACACATTCAGACGCTGTGCCTACCACGGCCAAATTTGAATTAAAGTTTCTTCTTCTCACCAAGAGTGCCTCTTCCCCTAATCCATCTCGGGTATTTTTCTTTCTCTTTGCTTATTATTACACTTATTGTTGATCGGTATAATTCATACCCTTTATTCAAAAATTCTCTCAATACTATGGAATTTTCCATTTATACTATTCGGACTTATCACTAGTGGTATTGTCTCTTTTCTCAATATATGTTTCAACCTGTTTCATTTCACATAATTTTTATTTCATAATGAACTTCTCATTGCAGTCGTACTATCTTCTCTTTAGTATGTACTACTTTGTACTAGCCACTCACCTGACACCTTTTGTAACCTTGAACTAACTTATCAATTTTTCCTACCCCACATTCTACGAATCTATTATGACTAATGACCACCATAGTGTCTCTTATTTCACAATATTTTGTAATTTAATTCACCCTAGCACGTTTGTCCAAAAAAATACTGTCATTTATTTTGTCACCCCATAACTAATCCGTAATCTACGTAAAAAAAAATGTATCCGCCGTATTATTGTAACGATAACAAATATTCAATAGATGGTTTGTAAGGATTAGATTTGTTTTTACTAATTGATCACGGATTGTTATCAGTTAGAGAACCATTGAAAACCAGGGAGTACTGGACAGCTGTTTCATCCTAGTTTTGGAAATCATCGACCGTACGCCGGTTCGAAGCCCAGTGGGTGCGTACTGCCGATGACTTACAAAACCAGGATGAAACAGCTCTCCAGTACTCCCTGGTTTTCAATGTTTCTCTAACTGATAACAATCTGTGATCGACTCGTAAAAGATAACAAATATTATATTTTATAATTGTAAGAACCTGAAGAGGAGAAATTATTGAAAGGAATATTCTTCGTTCAGATAATGGAGATTTAAAAATAAGTGGAATCAGTTCACTGTAAGAATTGATACATAACAACAAAATGGTTCAGACATTAAATGGAATCAAATTAAGAAAATAAAAAATGGCGTGGAAAAAGAGGTTGTAAAAGCTTTGTCAATAGACTACGACTAGCTATAAGTCCTAAGTATCAAGTTATGACTCACATCTCCTATTGTATGGGGGGTTGATGATATTACTCAGTTATTGGGACTGAAGTAGGTGAAAAAGGATTCAAACTAGGAGCTCACTGACTGAGAGTCAAATGATCTAGACACGTAGTTATAATTATTAGTCCTAAGTAGTCTATGGCTTTAGTAAATTAGTGAAACTCATGCGAAATTTGGTGATGTTCAAAATTTCACCAAGTCAATTATTGAAAAATGCACGCTTAAATCAGTTTGGAATCATTACACATTTACAATCTTTAACCTGTATTCTGAATAATTTTGGGTGTAGTGCTAGGTATACAATGAAAAGCACAACCCATTTAATATAAACAGATGCATACTCATTATCTCGTATTATCTTTTGTAAACTTAGAATTATGCGAAAATGTACAAGTATATCCGACAAACTGAAGTTATCAAGAAAACTAGTACTTTTTCTCCTTCCTTAACTGAAGCTAAACTCAAATCATAACAGCAGTAACTACCCCTTTGAAGTTATTCATAGGGGGAAACACTGACTTCTATAATGTGCAATTCCAATAAATCAAATGAATTTTTAAGTATTGGTTTTGTAGGGATCTTGTTTGATTGCATGGAGGATTTCACCATGAGCTGACATCAGTTAGAGAACCACTGGAAAACCTGGGAGTACTGGACAGCTGTTTCGTCCTAGTTTCGCACTCTTCGGCAGTACGCAACCACCACAAGGGTTCGAACCCGAGACCTACTGGTTACAAGGCGAGCTCGTAGACCATTGAGCCACTGGGACCCGACCCACTGGCCAGTCCATGAATTCTAACTTCTGCCAATTCACGATATAGCGCAACCATTTCGCAATGTCTTTTTCGACGAGTTAATGCCTCACCTTCAACCCGCTGTACCTTACTGGTCATGGCTTCCCACTAGAACCCCAGGTTAACTGCCTGAATAGGGCCAGTTGAGAGTGTAACTGGAAGGTCCTGGGTTGGAATCCCGGTGGGTGCGTACTGATGAAGAGTCCCAAACTAGGACGAAACAGCTGTCCAGTACTCCCAAGTTTTCCAGTGGTTCTCTAACTGATGTCAGCTCATGATGAAATCCTCCATGCAATCAAATCAAATAAACAAAAACTGCAGTTATCAGTAGAAAAATTAGTTATAAAAACAGAAACTAACATTATAAAGCTGTTTATATACGAATATTCGAAGTCCCCAATGCAATATGAACAGTTATTGCATGGCGTGTGCTACTGATAAAATTTGTCAGTAGTACATAAAGAGACATTCATCGGTATTAAATTATCAAATAGCAAGGAGATAGATTTAAAAATCATAGAGAGCAATGATTCAGTGTTGTGCCGAAACATGAGGGACGTGAAAAGGAAGACAAAGAAAGACAATACGAAGGACAGGAGTAGCACAACACCGAATATCAGTGCAAATGATGATTTGGGGACAAGGTGTACTAAATTTCGTTTTGTAGAGATACCGAATTCCAAAAATCAACATTCCTTTACCAAGTCTTTTGTTTTCTACTGTTACAACAGAACAATAATAATAATAAACAATGGACATAATGTTTATGACTTATTTTACAGGAAATACCAACAATCCAGTAGGACTTGATATTTTTAAAAATTTTTTGTCAATATAAAACAAACGAGACACAAATCAATGATCTATGTGGAAATAAAATATTTTTGGAAACAACACAACATAACATACACTTGCTATGTGAATAATTCGCGTGAATTCAGTTTTTTTTTTTTGTTTTTGTTTACTGGATCAGAAGAGTTTTAGGGAGACAAAATAAAACAAACAAACAGGAGAAAACAAATAACTTTCAACTTACCATCATGATTGGGTTAGACAGGACAATCCCATGAAGACGAATTAGGCTAGGATGTGAAAGACATTGCATTGCACGAACTTCATATAAAAATCCAGTGAATAGATCACTATTCATTGCTTCTGATCGTAATAATTTTACAGCTACAGGAATCTGTAAGTTAAAATGAAATTATTTTGATTATTCTTGATTTTAAAAAGATAAACTTTCTTTTTTCGTTTAAAAGGTAAGATGGAAACACTTGCCAACTTTTGGATAATAACAAATGCGGGTCTGCTTAAATCACTGGGCTATCTAGATTTTCTATTCATTAAAATGCCTTACATTTACTCCGTTTCGTGCTGTTTTAATCATCCAATTACACCACAATTAGTTGCAACATAAACTCGCGCACAACTTCAAATAAGTTTCTTCGTATCGCCAGGAATTCTTCGAAGCAAGTGGAGGTAGGACGCTGTGGAGTAGTATTGCAGCATGCTTCGGATAGTTGATGTATTATCATTTAATATATTATTTGAAGATTCTGAACAAGGAGTAAATACGTCGCTATGAAACTCTCTGAAAATTCTGCATGGTGTATGAACACATTTTTCAGGATAAAGCAATTATTACAATTATTATTAAAGGTAGAACTTGATAAAAGAAACCCGACAAATTATGAATTCAAGCACTAAACTATGACACTTACAAACATGCAATGAAGGTAGGAATAAGTAAGATAAATCATAAAATCCTTAATTTAGTAACTCTTTAGTCAAATAACATTGACTAATGAATCAAATATGCACGTAATACAGTCCACTTGACATATTTAACAGCATATCCTCAGTAGGATACAACCACATTCTACATAAAAGAGTGACTGACTGCTTTCAACGCAGAAATTTCCACACACGTGCAGCATTTCGAGTTGCCATACTTCAAGTACCACAAAAAGCAAGAGAACAGAGTAAAGGAAGGTTTAAAAGACAGATAATAAACAAAACAATGCGGAAGAACAATAGAGTATTATTGAATATGATGAATAACAAAGAGTGAACGCATATGCGCCAGTCATTCAGAACAACTTTGAACCATATCACAAATTATTTCCAATCATCGGTATTTACCATCCCGAGGACCCCAACCAGTCAGGAAGTCTACACCTCCCGACGTGACTCGCTGGCCTAAACTTACTGTTGTGGAGTTTACTGACTGACTTACTGATGAAGCCATGTATCCGTTTGACCACCACTAGCCAACTCTTTTCCAACCTGATCCATCCTGTGTCAGCTATCATCGCCCATCGAGGAAGGCGATGGATAGGCTAGGCATGCGTAACACATGTCCTGACAATCTCTCTCAATCAAAGTAACTTCACAATCTCATCGATTGATTTCCCCTCATTACCTACCTACCTAGCACTCAACCGAAGCCTAACATAAATATTAATCACCTTATTATACCACCTAACACAGGAGATAGAATATAAACACCTATGATCAAAGACAGCGAGCCACCCTTTTCATATCTTCCACTTTAAATGATCATGCCTCACTTCCAGCCAGCCAGTCATAAAGGAGGACACAGCGAACTGCTGAGCAGTGCACACGCCATTTGGTCGACAGCCAGCTGGATATCACTTCTACTAAGCCAGAGATGGCATACGTTGGCGGGCAAATGCCAAACGAGCCTTCTGTATTCGCGCTGACATCTCGTAAGAGATCAACCCGCTGGTACTGGGTGATACAACTTCCCAAATAAGTGAAGTGGTCAACACGCTCAGCAACCACTTCACTCCTGCCTATCTCTAAGCTAGGAGTCGATGTAGTCCAGTCAGTCCTGTAACACTACCTCACATTTGAAGGGAGCGAATCGCATGACAAATATTCGTAGACTGCTGCTCAAGGTGTTTAAAAAAACTTCATTTTGTCAGTGTCTTCACCTAGAAGGACTATATTATCCGCATATTCTAAGTCAACGAGATTATTTCCTGATGATAACCATTCAATCCCTGGATCGCTGAAGTCAGCTAGGGTTAAAGTCGATTATGACGTCATTTATGATGAAATGAAACAGAAACGGGGATAGTAGGAATCTCTGACAAACACCACTAGTTGTCACCAGTTCAGATGACAACTCTCTGTAGGCTCTCGCCTGACTGATTTCGAGTAGTGTCTTGAACAGTGCAATGTATTTTTTCGGCATTCCCTCCATAGCCGAACATCGCCATAATACCTCTCGTTCGACAGAATCGAGAGAGAAAATATCTTACATACATAAGATTACGGTAGACGACAAAAATAAAAAATATTTCAATAAATTTGCTTTTTGGAAAAATGAATCACAGACTTTACTAAAACTAAACATCTATCTGTAGGACTTTCACTTTACATGAATAACAGCATACGTCGTATATCATCAGCCCTGGAGCTGGTTGGAAAAGTAATTAGCTCTTGACGTGGTACTGTGACATATCGCATGGTGGATTTGAGCTGGCATATGTAAGTGCACCACAACTCTCTACGTAGGGTTGGATGTGGCTTGAGATCGAATTTAGCGGCAAACATTCTACGATTTGCTTATTTTCTCTACCACCAAAAGCAATGTAAAGTAAAATACAAACCGCTCACTTGGGCATACCTAATAATCATACCTAGGTTTTCCATTCTAATACTTCTCATATGTTCCAGTTCTTTCTTTATATTCGATTGTTTGATTTCTATGGTGCATTTGTTGGTGGCATCGTACACTGGTAATTTATTTCAATGTCATCATAATGCTAGAACTGATTTGAACTGTTCCTAATACGAAACGGATAAATTTTCGGGGAATCACCGTGCAAATGAAACCCCCAGTTGGAGTAGTGTTTCATAGGACTACACATTTAAATTTCAGTCACCGCATTACGGATTTTTAACTTGCTCCGCCTATTATGGTTTGTATATTTAAGCAGTAATATTAGACAATATATCTAAATGTTTTCCAGTAAGCTAGTCAGTATGAAAATAAGGAAATAAGATATCTTAGGTGATAGATTCAGCAATACCAATTCATATTTCCAGCTAAGATATCGAAAAATCAGTAGAAACTTACAGTTTCACCAGTTGGCATGGTCCAGTCACCGCGTCGGACTATACCAAACGAACCAATCCCAATTTTCGAATGCAGTTTGATATCTTTTTCAGGAATAAGACATGTAAATGCAGTTGAATTGGTAGGGGTACTGTCACAGGTATTTTGAACTGAATTCGATTTTCGATCATCAGTGAAACTTGTTGAACGATAAGGCACTTGCTGTTGGGGACGTTGGATAGATAACCGTTCAATGGATCGATATTCAGGTCTATGCGCTGGGGAAACTGGAGCACTAGTAAATAAGGATTGTTTTTTCCCGAACAGCTGAAACAAAGTTAGATAAAATCAAATTCCAGCTTAATATTTAAGCCGTATACATTTGACTAATGATAATCGTGAGTTTACTTATGCTTACTACAATTAGCAAGCTCAAACTTTATGTACACAAATCGAGATGTATAGAACACAGAAAAAAGACTTGAATATGAGTATTATTGAACGAAACTTCTGATAATATGACCAGTTATGTGATACTTATACTGTTTTAGCAGAATCGTATAGATTTAATGCATTATTTTACAGACTCACAATATAAACTACGAATAATTTCGAAATACTCATGGGCACTTAAATTCTTGATAGCCATTATTTTTCTTAAGATAATTTAACACTTGCAATTCATGATCTCTGTGGACATAAGCAGCCTAAACAGAGCACTACTCCAACAGGTAAGAGCAAAATCCCTAACGAGAAACAGCTAATTTCTATCCTAATATTAAACTATTCAAAACAATTAGTTCCCTTTATGAATTTAGATAAAGCAATAAGAAGACGTAATTTGTCTGAATCGTGCAATGTATTTGCGCAACACATTTCGAACACAATCTGATCACACTTACTTACTTTACTTTACTTTACTTCGGCTATCTCCTACGGGAGGATGAGCCGGCTTCATGAACCATGAAGTTTCATGGGAATTGGGTACAAGTGATGTCCCCAGCATCGCTCGGCCTTTGTTTGAGAGTGCAGCTCTAGCCTTTACACAACCAAGTGTGACCTACAAGGCAGTAGGAGTGGAGTAGGGAGTCCACTATCCATTGGCAACCGGTGACCGGAGTCCGGTTCATTCGCCTTTTTGAATGGGGCCAGTCATCCAGGGCATCCAATAAGCTCTTTGTCCATACGTCTGCCGGTGAGCTTCATACGCCAGTCGTTGGAGGTTTGGAATCAGGGTTTAGCCATCTCCCCTAGACTGTCATCCAATGGACAGTCAACCCAGTGAAGAGCACCGGGCATCCGCTTTTGCCCTCTCACTTTGGTGAAAAACACACGGACTTGTCATAGGAATATTTATATGAAATTAATAAAGAGGTAAGAGGTGAGAAAATAAATTTAAGTCAAGTTAAAAGGATATATTGAAGGTCAAAATAAGAGTGAAGATCACTAAGCCAAATATCAGAGGTAATAGTACATCTATCCTGACTGGTATCAAAACAAAGTTTACCAAGGAAGGTTTAGTGTGATGACAAATTGTTTTTGAACCTATATGGGTGGTTTAAACTTTCTGATTACTAGGGTTTCCACAAACCCTTACTTGCAGAGCATATTCTTGAATAGCTTCAGAAACAAATGGAATCTTCGGAACCCATTTCTGGTGAGAACAGGAGACCTAGCTCCTCTACTGCGAAATATATTATTATTGAGACAGGATGTAAGATTGATGTTAACAGATCTTTTAAACCTATCTATAAAACGTGTTTGAGGCGTATCCTAAAGTTTGTGGAAGCCCTAGCAATAAGAAAGTCTAAACCACCTTTATGCGTTCAAAAACAATTCATCACATTAAACCGTCCTTGGCAAATTTTGTTTCGATACCACAGAAGACGTACTATTACCTCTGCTATTTGGTTTAGTGATCTTCATTGTTATTTTGACCTTGCATATGTCCTTTTAACTTGACCTAAGTCTATTTTCTCACCTCTTACCTTTTTATTCATTCTTTTATTAATTCCTATGACAAGTCCGTATGTGATCAGATTGTTCGAAATGTGTTGAGTACTTCTTCCTCAAGCCAGTCGAAATCCTATAACTTTTAAACACAAAAACTTAGCAATATTTTAAGCTTAACAACTGAATTTAGCTTAAGTGTGTTGTATGAATAAAGAATAAGAAAAGTTTTCTACCAACCACTGTACAAGAAAAAATGTATAGAATCCCAAAACAGTCACTTACTTTTCGTAATAACTTGGATCGGTGAAAATCAGTAACGTTATGTGAGTCTACATCAGACGATGAATAGCCACAATCCATATGCCTGTCTGACAGCAGGTTGCCTACTGGATATCCATCTTCGATTAACTGGTTTACAAGTCTATTGATTTCATTTCCCGTCATTCCAAGACAAGTTAGGTCGAAAGGTTTAAACCGGGAGAAATCTACAGGGCTAGAAATTTAAATAGATAATCTAAGAATGGAAAAGCTTGAAATTTTTCTTTACAATATACTGGAGCTATATCACAGTATAAAGTGTATTTGGTAAGAGAAGAATGAATAACATTTAAAGCAAACAAAGCCTAATTTACATTCGGTTACCAGGTAGTTGACAAACGGAAGAAATGAGTGGATAAAGCACAAAGATTTGTGCATACTACTGCTCAGTAAACATTCTGAATAAGACTAGTGACAGTGCCTAGAGGCCTTAACCTCTGTGAACTAAGCAGAATTAAAGCCCATGAAATTCGTTCGAAGTTGAGTAAGTAAACCAACGGCAAACTGCTCTACTCAGACATTGTCTTCTCGTTCGGCATAATATATGTCTCTGTGCCAAAGTCCAGTAGAAATTAACATTTCAAACTACAGTTCCCAATAAAGACCTAAAATGTTTGTCTTCTCAATCAGTCAGATCCTAGACTATTATAGTTGTCCGGGTTTTTAAAAACAACTATTTTAAGAATTAGAAGAATGAGTGATTAAAACCAATTAGAATATACCACATTAAAACCACATACAACAGGCGAATTGACTTGTCTATATGTAAGAACCTAACTGACTGTTTTCACATAAGCAATCAAGTCACAATGATTTTTCTAAAATAAGAGGTGCAGGTTCTTCAAATTTAGTTATATTTGGAGTATCCTTCAAAATCCCGTAATTCAGATTATCATTTCACCAACAACTCAAATAATACATTTACATTTCGAATGGATTTTAATGCAATAAATATATTATACAAGTCGTCTGAAGCCTTTAATAGTATATTATACCTGATTTTTTATACAACTTTGCTAAGAAGCTATGAGGCACTAGGTATTACTAAATATTTCAGAGTAGTGTAAGTGGACTATGAATCCAGAACTAGAGTATGAAAATCGAGCGCTTAATAAAGTCGATAATTATTCCACATAGACATGTTAGAACTATCTCACAAAGTGACACATGATGACTCTTGTATTTCGCTACGATTTGTGTACATAAATGTTAGGACATAGGGTTATGTGGACTTGATTAGTAATGCAACAGAATATTTTTGGTAGTGACGGTAGTCACAGTTGTGAATTGTACATACATTTCATGCAGCTAACAAGCTAAAAATAAAACATCACGAATATGAAGACTCACTATTAATGATTTAGTAGTAATTTGTAGCCAACCGGCATAGCTGTTGCGAAATAGTGACATACACTATACTGTAGCAAAGATAGAAATAGATCAGTAATGTAGCAGATAAAGCCAGATCACTCCTGATATATCTCTATGATGCAATCAAAATCAGTGTTAAAACTGAACCAATACATTCAAGCCCTATTCACTTCTGAGGCAGTTTAACATTTTGATGAATGAAGAATAACGACACTCATGAACGACTGTAATTTTATGTTATTTGAGAAATCAACTGGTTACTAATATTCTTCCTTACGGAAATGGTATGAGGGAATTAAATTGCATACATGTTACGCAGTGACATCAAGTATTATTCATAAAAATGACCAAGTATAACTTACTCATTTATTTTCATTTTTTTCTTCAAGACATGATAAAAGTTTTTCAGACATGCCCGTTCAAGAAACGTTGATAATTTTTCACCTCGGCCTTAAGTAAACGCATTAGAACAGAATGAATACCTGTCCAAGGATAATGAGCCTTTTCCGTCATTGCTGTTGGTGTTTTCAGTAGACAAAAGATGAATTATTATCTACGCAGGCTACAGTCCGATATCGCAAATGCAAATATTCAGCAACAGAATACGTGTGTTGTTGGCTCCTGTTAAGTCTTTTAATCAGTGTCGCTAATGATTATCATGACAGCATTTTCAAGAGTATTTTATTCCAGGTGTCAAATACTCAGCAATATGACTGAAAACATGGCTTATTATATTTTCTCAAAGTAACCTTTAAGATCTACGGTTCCTAAAAAGATAGGACAAATGGACAACAAACAATGACTTTCAATTATGTGAGAAAGTAACATTTCACAGTAATTAACACAAGTCTAAAATATTTGTATAGTGATGAAAAATGAGTTGGAGATTTCAGGTATGAACTTCAGTGATTGAAAGCCACTGTAGTGATCCACTTGCGTATTTTTACAGTTGTAATCCTTGTGACAAATTAGTGCAGTTTGAAATCAGGCCAACACGAACACATGAATTTCTTTGCAATTCTCAATTAGTGGTAAATATGGTTAGACACTACAGATCATTATTTAAAAATATTTTTGGACGGTTACACGAACCTACAAAATGAGATCAAATGAGCAAATGACTACCTAGAAAAAAACCATGACAAGCGCCCAGTTCCAGGTATAAATGTATATCATACTGAAGATTAAATGTCCAGTCAATTGTAACACGACTAAAATTTTGTCATGACGCAACTAAGCAATCACCCATAGGCTAGTAAGCCACATCTGAATACTGAAGAAATCATCTGTGACCCGGCCGTTCGAAATCGCGTCTAGAATCCGGTATGACTCTGATGATGAGACAAAAGCCATTAGTTAACTTCTTTGACAAAAGGAATCAATTCCATCCCAAGGAGTTTTCTTACCAAATGTTCGCTTGACTTGCATCCGCAGCAGTGAGTTTGGTTACAAACTTAAAGACTTAGTGATTACACAATTTTGAGACCAAACTTAATTATGTAATATAAACTGGACATTAATTCTTGGTGGTCAATCTCAAAAATAAATAACTGGAATTCCCTGTTTGTTGATTTGCCTGCAAATGTTTTGGTTAGCGTCCTACTCCAACTCTAGAGATTGCTCAACTACGCAATACCCAATAGTTTAAATTTTTTATGTTTGGTCTAATATTTGCCACGTTAACTTTGCTGTGATTGGTTGTTGACTCAGCCTTGTTCATATCTTCTCACGGCCCACATTAGTGACCTAGACCTTAACGTAGATTAGTGCCAACCAATCGGCTAGCAGCCTGCTCTCACCACACGCAGACACCCAAAAATAGCTGCTACTTATGGAATTGCTGTTGGTGGATTAACAATAACTTTCAATGCGACTGTCGATTTTGAATCGAAAACTCTCCACTTATATTCACTTTAGTTAAAAAAGTAGGAATGTGATTAACAGTAGTCAAAGATGGTATGAGCAATCTTGATTATTGATTTCTTAGTTGCTTAAAAAATGTGAACTAATGTAGAATTTAATACTTCGACCTTTTTGCTTCATCTGAGAAGACTGGTCGAAATCTGAGAAACCAGGCAAATAATAAAAACACTGAACAAAAGTTAGGATTTACAGGTCATAGTATTTTGGCCCAAGAAGTCAAATGGTCGGCTAGCTTGGTTTTGCAGCCTCAAAGTCCCAGGTCTGCACTGTTGAATAATCCCGAACGAGGACGAAACAGCTGTCCATTTCTTCGCGGTTCTCAATGATCTCTAACTGATTTTGGTTCGTGAATAAATCCACATTGACAGTAAAGAAAACGTCTTGAGTTTTCTCATCGTGAAAGCGACCACACTAGATTGTTAGAGTATTCCAAGCTTAAGCAGATCACGGTTCCCATATACAAACTTTACATTACAGTTTGTGAATCTGATTAGACTGTCTTAGGACTTTCTTGTCCTATCCCTTTGTTTAGGTGAACAGAATGTAATGTCATTACAAAAAGTAAGAGACGTGTTTTACTTCACGTCCTAACACTTCTGTTTATTATCTTTCTTTACTCTCTTGCTTTGTGTGGTAAATGCAGTGTGACAGCGCAAACTGTTGCACTTATGTCCGAAAATCTATGCTGAAACCAGTCAGTCAGTACTGAGCCCCAGAAGCAATTAACAATCTGCATTGCTAATTGTTGCCAGAAAAGCAAAGACCTTGCTACAACACATACGATTTGCCAAGCAAGTGGCAATCGCGCACATAATCTGAACACTGAAGTTTGAGTGTGTGGATAATATAATCAGACCTAAAAAGCAGTAGTCGACCGTTACCCAATGCGTTTAAATGCAACTAATTATTAAGAAACATTTCATTTCTTCCACAATTAGATAAGCAACCTAGGAGAGTGATTATATTGAGCAGTCACGTAATGTTCACATATTCGTCAAAAATCCTAGCTTAGATGCTGACTGACGAAATGATATGACCTTCCAAGCTTTATTAGACAGTGTGGTTTGACTGTATGACCATTCTGCTGGGGTTCGAATGTTTCCATTTACGATTTACGGCTCAATGGAACTCATTGTGGGTTTTTTGTTTTTGTCGTCTTTATATTTATTTTTTTGGAAAACTTTTACATGTGTGGCAAAATTAGATGCAATATTGTAGATATTTGCTAAAGATTCCACACTGTTTCTGGAATAAAGCAAATTATTATTATTGAAAGATTTCTACTGAAAGACATTCTAGATTAATCCATAAAATCCCCACAGTGGTACTTAAGAGCTACTCAAAGATATTGTGCTTTGCTCAGAAGCTTCGGACTACTGAATGGTGCGACCGAAATCCTGGTATTCATGTAATAACTCTATAAATATGAAATTTAAATAAGTGTTTGCATGATATGCTGTACATAGTTCCTCAAGAATGCTGAAAAGCAAATTTTTGTAACATAACTACCCATATAAAAACTTCTAAAATAAACTCAGTGGAGGAAGTAAAAGAAAACGCAAAATTTTTCGCTAAATAAAACCTACAATTGCCTCGAGATTTCGCCTGAATACTTCACTTTAAAATTGCCCCAACATTTTTTGTTTCCCAAGCTTATAACAATTTTAAACTTATTCTACTCTATTCTTCATTAATGCCTTTTTATCATCAATGAAGATTTTATCTACCAACTATCTTCTGAAATAACACCGGTCGTGCTTAAAAAGAGAGCTAGTTGCCGAATTAAGTCTTTTCGTTCTAAAGTAACGCTAGTCTGTGCTTAATATGCCTTGTGAGGGCTGGAACAACGCTGATAAGCAAACGCAGTAGGCTCTAATCTACTACTGAGTATGCCCAGAAAAATGAACACGGCGCTGAATTAGTGCCAGTTATGCTGAAAACCAGCAATCAGTTATAGTCTGTGCCATTAAAGAATCCATTTCAGAACAGATTCAGAATTTACTCATTACAGAATGTTAGAATTACTTCAAAATTAGATAGATTTAATTCAGCATTATAATAAGCTTGGGTCACAGTAGATTACAGCAGAACTTTTTTAAGATATTCAACAGCACTATGCAATCACTAAGATCAAAGTCTTCATCTTAAATCTCTGTAACAGAAATGAAACAGGTACCTATCACGACCGCTGAATAATCTTATGAAAATATAAAATATTTTATATTTTTATATATTTTAATATATGTTAATATAAATTTAGATATATTAGGTGCGGATATTTTAATATATATTAAAATATCCGCATGTTTACATATATGTAAATATATTTACATATATTAAGTGTGGATTCCTGTGCAAACAGAAATTCCACAGTTCTACTTCATAAACGAACATTTATGAGTGCTTTCATCATCATATAAACCGGGATTTAATTCAAAAACACAAACAATACCTGATTATTACCTGTCAAAAATTACCCTTCTCCTAGTAACGGCCAATTAGACAGACGCGCGGTCAAAATACTCTAGGTAAGCGTTGTACAACATCAAATTGTTGTGATTGAGTCAACTAAAGTGATTCATTTGTTTCGTGCAGCCAGTAATAAGTAATTTTAATAGCCCTGAAAACATGTCTGAGGTGACCGACGCTGGTGTTGTGTCTTATAGTTCTGACAGCCTACGAGGACATTAAGAGGAGGGTTGGCATGTTCAATATCCAATATCGTTTTTACGAGCTAGTATAAACCAATTTGATTTCTTTGTGCTCGCTTCTTGATTGTGAGGTATAGGTTCTTGATCTTCGGTAAACTTCTGCGTAGCTTGTCCCGCCACTCGACTGTCGTAGCTTTGGTTGACTCCAAAGGGAGTAGTGCTGGGATTAACTATATGTGGTTTGTAGTATGAGGTATGTTAAGACTGTTACTACTGTGATTGGAGTTTATCCTTTCGCCAGTTAGTCCTTCGGTATTGTCGACAAGAGAAAAGAGATAGTAATAATAATAATAATGGTAATAATAATAATAATAGTAATAATAATAATAATAGATATAATTAGTGAAGCTATTCAGACTAAGAGACAGAAACGAAAATAGGAAACGTAACAACAGTCAGCTCATTAAGTTTGAAGAATAATATATATATCGGTAATAGTAATAATAATAATAGTAATTATAATATTAATAAGTCGGCAGGAGAGTTAGACGGGAGAGAATGTAAAGAAGTAAAACGACGAGTTTAATTGTCTACCCCTGAATGGTGTATGCGATTTTAAGGAGATAGGCCATTTGGATCCAGTCCTTGTATCGCTGCATGGTTGTCCAGCCTTCGCTTAAAGGCGTCCAAAGACGGTGCCATAGCTGCATCTGCCGGTAAGGAATTCCAGGGACGACAAACCCGCAGTGAAAAGAAGTGGGAGCGCACCCGGGTCCTTGCCCTCTGGTGAGCTATCCTTCTGGGATTTCCACGTGGAAGCCTATACCTACTCAATGGCAGAACACCTTTGTTTGGGTGATTCTGGTCATATGTTATTTTGTAGGCAGTAATCAAATCCCCCCTAAGCCGACGGTAACTAAGTGTGAACAGGCCTGTTGT